CAACCTTATTGTTTTCTGAGGGAGAGCCAATTTTGTAAGGGAAGAAGATTAGGAGAGTGGCTCTCCGTTCCCATACTCTTTACATCTTTTCACGGAGCTTTGCATATCTCTCCATCACACACACACACTCTCTCTTCCCCGAACTCTCTCATGTAGTTTTATCTATCTTTCTTTTGCGATATCGGGATACTCTAACATTAGATCTTAAATTTTTAAGTGTATCCGCATTACTCACAAGTTTAATTTTGATGTTTTCGTCATGTGTATACCCTTTAGAATTTGGTTAGCTACTTATTAAACAAAGAAAATGATATTTATTTCACTGGTGATTGGTGAATATGTAATTTTCATTTTATTTTTATAATTAAGATAACATAACAAAGTGTTGATCATATGAAAAGCTAAACCTCTCGGCCAAACATCCAATTAACTTTCCTTTTCTACAATTAGTCCATGGCCAAACCATTTATGATTTAACTATCAGAATTCATGGAAATTCTTCTATTCATTTTTAAGATTCAGTTTGATTTATCCAAATTGAAGAATTTCAACTGTAGTATTGTTCAAGTTACTATAAACAGAACATATTAAAGTGATTATATATATATATTGAAAGAAACCAACAAAAACAAAAAAGTTATGTACAGTGAGATATGATGATAAATGGAAAATGAATCAAGAATAAGAGCCTCGAAACTCATCGGGTTCATCGAGAGTGTCTATAATGGATTTGGAAATGGCGAGGCTGAGAGAAACGAGAAAGAGACAAGGGTAACAGTACCTGGACAGATATTTCCATTGCTGAACAATGGCTTTCAAGATGCTGAGCTGGCAACCTCTGCAACTCAGACAGTACTGGTAAGAACATTCTTCAGGGACTTCGTTCTCTATGTGTTGATGTTTCCAACTCCATTCTCCTGCTTTACCGAACATTGTCTTTGCTCCACAGCCTTTTGGTTGCGCACAACAAAACTTCCAAACATTGCTGTTTTTGCTGGCATTGAAGTTACAGTCATGGTTATGAATGATACAGTCCGTGACGCTTGCAAGTTTACTCGCAGGGACTAGCCGGCCAACCAATTGCTTGGCAGTTCGGGTTTCCTCAGCCGGGTTCTTGGCGATTCCAAAGGTAGTATTGTAGAGAAAGCACTTTAAAGAGTAGCCACCAAGGACAATCAAGACCAACATCATCGCATAGATGTAAACTGTGAAGATACGTTTTGAGCGTAAACAGATAGCGTAAAGACCAAGCTGAGGAAAAACCAGCAAGATCAGACCAATCAATATGAATCTGCTATCGGTTTCTCGGATACAATGCGAGACTGTACTTTTGTAAAATAAGCCTGTTCCGATCATAGTAAAGCCTATGCAAACGAGGAGTATGGTCGCCATTGTTAGGAACCCTATTCGTACCTCAGACATTTTCTTCTTTCCTTTTTTATTTTTTCGAATCCAAAAAGATTCACAGAGAAAATGAGGTTTTGGAGTCTTGATATATGAAGAGGCTGTAACAAAGAGGCAAAGAATCAAGAACAGAGAGGCATCAGGTGTTTTTTTCTTTTAAGACCTGAGTTTAGTCTAAGGACAGCTTTTTGGGACAGGTAAAAACTGTTTTAACGGTTGGGTTATTCCTTAATTTCTAAAGTCAAGAGC